TCAGAGACTGAACTGGCGACCGAACGTCAATCGAGCTTATCTGATGCTGCTATTGTAACGGATTTCACGATGTTATCAAAGGCGAGTACGGAGCTGTTGAAAACTCCTACTTTCGTTGTGCATTCTACTCCTAGCAAGGTTCTGTCTTCTGAGAGGCTTGAAAGCAAAGGAATCAGTACGAGTCGGACAAGGTCTAACAAATTTTCAAATTTACTCACATCGATAACAGAAGGTATATCGCTCCCTCAGGAGCCAGACTCGTCTTCCGATGCGAAGAGCGCAGCGAGTTCAGCAGAAAATACCGAAGCTTCGCCAAGTGCCACAGTAGAGAATATGATCGGATCACGACCTGTGTCCTCTTCAATAAAGGGTTTGTCGTCGGATGCCATGAGCAAAAATTCACTAGGAGATTCTTCAGTCACACTGCGCGCGTTTTCAGGCAATCCATTTGAAAGCACTGTTTCTGACCTGAACACTATGGAAAAAGATACATCTAAAGTGAGTGAGGCAAAGATAAGCTCAGATATCGACACTGTTCGCGTGACATGGACAGTTACTGATACACCGGAAGAGAGAGCCTTAACGTCGGAAAATGAGAAGTCTACGTCTACGCATAATTCACATGATGAGTGCGAAACATCAGAGCCAACTGGAAAGCAGCCTAGCTCTTTGAAAACCTTGTTTTCAATGCTCTCCTCTAGTACGGAGCCAAATGCATTGCCAAGCAAAGTGAGGAACATTGCTTCTACGATTCCTTCCACCATCGTCTTTGACAAGGCAATGTCGTCCGCAGCAAGGGAAAGTCAGCTTCAAACGGAAGCAATATCTTCCCACAAAATTTCAGACAAACAACATTTGTCAGTTACCGAAGAAGGGCCAACTTTATATAAAGATAGTGTCTTCAGTACACTTTCACCCGGGGTAGCAGGGGACACGAGAACTATCTCTATGACAGCTGAGCGCAAGAAAAAGTCCACAAACTCAGGGACAAGTAACATTAAAAGATTTATCACAAGCGCAATTTCTGTAGGCGGACACTCAAAAGCTGCAACTTTCCAGTTTTCGCCTCCGCGCAAAACTATTAGTTCAACGTCCACATTTGAAAAGGCAGGAGGAGAAGCCTATGAAACTTCAACGATTCATGAAAATATCGCAAGCACGAAGTCAATGAATAGCGAATCTGCAGCTTCCTCGCATCAGAAAGTAACAGCAAATACGACTCTATTTGGAGAGACCAATGATGCAATAACTCCTAGTACTTCCGATATCATCCCAAAATCTGTTTACA